CCCCCCCCCCCCCCCACCCACCACCCCCCAACACCCCCCCCCCCCCCCCCCCCCCCCCCCCCCCTACCCACCCCCCCCCCCCCACCCCCCCCGCCCCCCCCGGCCGCCCCCCACTTAGCTATAGCTGAATTTTCTCGTTTTCTCAAATTTATAAGACTTCAAAATCTATAAATGGGTATAATGTTACACCTTAAATTTTATCTCTTTAAAATGTTAAAACATCCTGAAATAGAGTTTATGTTAGGTTAAGGAGAATTATGAATAGATTAATTTCTCAATTTTACAAGTTTCTTATGACCGATAAAGCCTCTATTTACCATCTTATTTTCGTATATGGTTCGTGCTCGAGCACCAAATGTCAGGCTGCTACGTCCATCCAAAATATGTCTTTCGGAAACTGTTTGACTAATATTTCACGTTTGTGTCTTAATTGTTCAAGTTTGAATGCATTTTCATTTGATTGCCAATGACCTGAAGTATCTTGAAGCGAAGGATTATCCGACACAATAGTTCTAATATCATTCTGATCCGAATTTTTTGCACGATAGGATTCCGAAAAGGTTGTCATTAATCGTCGAAATCTTTTATCGTGTGTGGCCGAACTTGAGTCATCAATAGCAGATATTGTTGATTCTCGTGGTGTTTCAATTAAACTTTCCTCAAGTGAACCGAATAGCTGGGATGATGTTACTTTGTTTAATATTCTCCTCGATTGGCGTCCGAACGGTAACATAACTCGACTTGATCGTGGCATTGCTAGCTGGTTTAATCTCACTCTCGATATTGATGTTTTTTTCCTCGATGAAGTTGGACGTGATTGTTTAGAATCAGAGGAAATTATTGTTTTTTGCATGTTCTGTTGTAGAACAGGTTTAGCTGTCATTGGCAGATTTACTTCCGTACTCATGGTGCTGTGTGCATCTTGTATTTTGCTTAGATCCGTTTCGGAAATTTCAAATTTTGCCAGAGTACCATTTTGTCGGTCATTTTTGTTAATATCGGCACTACTTACTTTTGTAATTAGAATATCGCTTTGAGTTCTATTCAGTATATTTTCATTTTTTGCTCTGTTGTCTACAGTTGTTGCTGCTCGATTGAATTTTTGGAATGGTTTTTTGTTAAATGTCGGATCAGATGTCTGAGCGAATTTGAAGGGTGATTGAGAAGCGCTTGATAACCATGTTTCGGAACGAGTATAATTATTTAAACTTGGAGTAATACCGTTTTTGAGATCTGCAGTTAATTCTTCTACATGGCTGAAATAACGAAATACATACAGGTTTTAAATTTTTCTTTCTTCAATCTGTCGTATCAGCTCTTGGAAATTTGGAATAGATTGTTGACTAATTTCTTTTTTTATCTGTTAAAAGTTGATTATTCACTGTCCTTACTTTTTCTACATTTAAAAATGTTAACTGACAGTGACCGGAAACCTTTAAAAGCTTTGCTACCTTTAAGTGGCGGAAGCATTGAAGAATTTTAACGTAATTCTCGAAAGTTTTGGTAAGAATTTAAAATGGTTATCAGTCGGCTCGAAAATGCAGACTCGTTCAAAAGAGACTGAAATAGTGAAATTGAAATAGTTTTTCTTTTTCAGGAGATGCACATTATACTTGTTATTTATTAAGTTTATTTTATTTTAGTTATAACAAACGTGATTTAAGACGGGTAGAACCGCCCGACGACAATTCAGAAAATGACAACCGCCGATAACTATTTCGTGTTTTATACACGTACAAAACCAAAATGTTTGAACCTGCGGTAACTGTATTAGAAAAAAGTCTAACCGCTGAAGATTGCCGGTTAAGAAGTTTGAGAACCACTCAAACGGTCGTTTCAGATATGTGATCGAATGAGAACCGGGCGCGGTTCTTTATTCATGCTTGTGTAGAGTGTTAGATTGTAGAGGACATCGACTTATCTATATACATAATTTTTTTGAGTAGTGATCAGGTTTTAATGGTGTTACTCTTTTGAACAGATCTGTATTTTCGAATTGGTTTATAATTTGTAACTCCAACTATTTGATTTATATATCTTTTAAATTTTTGATTAAAATTTGAAAGATTTATAAATACTAAACTTTCAAACTCTTCAGCAGGCGGAAGATGATATTTTACTCAAAATGTAATCAGTCGTTTTAAAAGCGAAGAAAAATGTTCACCATTTTCGGCGACAGTAACTTGAATCAATTTCTTCATCGCCAGCGATAGTATATCACCCTAGTATAGTGAAGCTTTTTTCTCAAGCACATGACTTTCTTGAATTTCTTGAGTAAGAATTTCATGGCACGGAGACATTTCTTACTCATGTAAAACGCATTTTTTCGAAAGTCATGCGCTTGACTTTCTTGACTCATGTGCTGGAGCTTCGTATCTCAAGAACCTCATGCGCATGAAATTCTTATCGCAAATGCTTGAATATATCATTGACTTTTCCTAGTAGTTCTTTTGTTTCATATACTTTCTTGATTCAAGAAATGCGCTTGAGCTTTTTGAGGTCAAGCGTTTCAAATATTACATAAATGTATTTTGCCTTTCTTTTTGTATCTTCACATATATATCCTATTATATTCTGTTAGTCACAGGGTTGAACTATACCCGTCTTGGATACGGGGGAGAGGGGAGAACTCGGTTGCGGGACCTCTTTATCTTTCCGGGTTATCTTTTTTCAAATAATGCATAAAATCCAAGGTATCTGCTTCTATATAGATTCAGTTAAATACAATGATGTTGTGTAAGATTTTAAAATAAAAATGCATATAAGTGAGACATTGCCTCAAAGACTGATACCTTCTCAAATGTGAGTATCTTCGGTGTAAGATAGCTCTGCCCTTAATGACTTTCAGGATGTAGCAAAGATCAGTTTGATCCTATCTGATGTACAGAGGTTTGGGGCTCAACCATTTCGCCTCATTCACAGGATGCTAGAATGATTCTAGCAACGAACTGGTCTCAGCGATAATATCCACGGCTGTACACTCTCTGAAAGTTCAAGCGTGAATGCTCGATGCTTCACTCATCGATGGTAAAACTCATAAGTGAATGAACTAAAAGACATCAGTCTTTCTCACTTTTAATTTAAGGTCATTTTCAACCATATAGTCGAATCAGAATTGAATACAGCAAAGTGGGACTTAAGGGGAATCTTCCCAACTGTCCCCTCGTTTTTTGAATGAAACCAAGTGAGTCATAGGTTATCGACTATGCCGATTCCGAATATCACCAAGCTAGCTGCGCACAGGCCTTCAGAGAATCTGCTTTCTGGAAAACCTGTTTTTCAAAAACTCTAAAAAATAATCAAAACCTTTCTTAATGAGGCCAGATTGTAGCCCGCAAATTTCTGATTAAGGTGAGACATCTCCCAGCTCTACATGACCTTTCTTTGCAAAGTTATAGAATTTACAAGAAAAACCCTAAATTAATTTCTTCTTATGTGTGTAGCTTTGAGCTGGTAATCAACATTGAGGGTTTTTCTTACAAGTTCTATAACTTTGCAAAGAAAGGTCATGTAGAGCTAGGAGATGTCTCACCTTAATCAGAAATTTGCGGGCTACAATCCGGCCTCAATAAGAAAGGTTTTGATTATTTTTTAGAGTTTTTGAAAAACAGGTTTTCCAGAAAGCAGATTCTCTGAAGGCCTGTGCGCAACTAGGTTGATGATATTCGAAATCAGCATAGTCGATAACCTATGACTCATTTGGTTTCATTCAAAAAACGAGGGGACAGTTGGGAAGGTTCTCTCGTTAGTTTACCTGTGCAAGAAATGTTTCCGTTATTCGAAAACTGACAGTTCCACATTACGACTACTAGCGGGTGTTTATGTACGGTAAAAGAATAGCGGACCGAAATTGCTGTGCACTTTCTCTGAATCTGTGTTAATATTGACTTTTCCTTTTCAGATAGAGATTATGAGCCGATGGAAGCATCGTCTGGTTGACGAAGCACAGCAATTTTCGAAAAGACTGCAAATATATCGAAAGTTTTAAACATTGATTTTGCCATGTTCTCGGAGAAAAGACCAAGTAAAACATAGTGGAATCAAGCATAACGAACTAAAAGCCTTCTACAAAGGTAGAGATTATGCATGAGTTTCTTCAGATATGCGCTGGAGAAAAAACCACTAGGGCACAGTTCGAAGTAGTTTTCCTCAGAAAAACTTTTGCAAACTACGATTCTTATCATTCTAATAATGTGGTAAAACATGTGCAGAAACGCGATTCTGGCCGATTTAGAAAACGAAAAAGATTTGAAAGATGGACCGTTTTCGATACTATTCATTCCGGCTAATGTGACATAAAACTCCGTTTCCGAGCGTCTTCTCTGCTGAAGAAAAAATCGCTTAGATTGCTCCCCTCGTGCACATACTTCAAGCAACTCGAATGCATGAGACAAGAAAGTTAAAGCACCTACCTCAAGTGTTCTCCCTAGGTAAGAAATTCATGTTCATTGAGACAAATCTTAGGTTATGAAATATCTCATGTGCTTGAGAAAAAACACTTCACTTGGGCAGTCAGTGCCTCTGCGTGTCTTCCTTGAAACAGAACCATGTACAGACATATCATTTATTCCTATGTTCATCTGGTTCTCAATAATCCATAACTTTAAACTTTATCGAACTTACGCTTTTAGACCCGGCATTGATCTTTCTGCTTTTGCTTTTTGTTTTTTTAAAAACAATTTCTTATCAAAATCGTTTTTAAGTATTAAACGATATCGATCATAAGACATATTCAATGCATCCGATAAAAATTGTCGACTTAAGATAACATTTTGTCTCGTATTGTTTGATATTATACGTGAATTTTCTGCTAATTGACGAACAGTACCATCTTTTAGCATCCAGCTTTTAACTTCATTTGGAACTTGTCTTTTCAAATAGCTATTCATTAGTTCACATACATACGAAAACACAGATGGAAAAAGAAAGTTTACGGACGTAATAAACGACTTCTGAGTATTGTAAAATTTAGTTTCGTGTGAAACATTATGGTTGTTGTTTTTATCGTTAATTCCAAAAACATGTTTTGATGACAGAAAAATTTGCAATCGATGAATATACTAAAAATAAACATCAGAAAAAAAGGTGATGCTATTATCCTCTTAAGTGCTCTTTCTGTCGATCGAGTATGTTATTTTAAAACGATTAGGTTGCTTATCTTTGTGATTGAATATGGTTTATTTATTTTTCATCAGTTTTTAAGTTGTTTAAGAGTACAAAACCAAATTGGCTGTTTTTGTATATAATTTCGTTAACGACCCATAAGAGTCTCAAAACGAATATCATAAAATGTCTATATTTTTGATTGTAATAAAACTGCCAGTTTTGATATCATAACTGTTTAAACCGCTTTTTACTTTTATTAGAAAACCCGTTTGGCATTTTTAGAATACGAAAAAGCCATGATTTAAAAACCCTGAATTGCTTTGGTATTTTAAAATACCTGAAAGGGTTTTTTGTGACATGAAGAAACCTCAGCCGTTTTTCAGAACATAATTTAGCCGTATTTTAGAAAACGAAAATAAGTTTTTTGATAAGAATAAGAAACTTTTTAACAGTTATGATATGGTTCAAATGGTTATACCCTTTAAACGTTTTTTACGGGTGGTTATACCTTTTTTTGATTTTTCTCAAATGGCAAATATATTTTCTAGGATTTTTTGAAATACCTTTTATTTTTAGAGTGTGAGTTTCATCCGTATACATTACGACCCTATTAATACTTCATCCAATCGCGCTCAAATTTTATCACAGATACAGAGAACCATATCGCAGAATGTAAGCTTTTTTTGGCTTCTGATTTTTCTTGTGTGAGAGATATAAAAAATGGTTGGCTACAAAACAAAATCATTCTGAGCGTTGTATGACCTGTTCGAAAAAATTATCAGTTTTTTACGTTTTTGTTCAAAAAGCTGAAAAATCTCTATTGTATCTATTCCCTGTCAAAGAAGTGGCAAATACAAACGATCACCTTTTCAAGATAATATTTTATCTTTATTTTTTTTCATAAGCCTAGTTTATTGTATGTTAGGCTTAGCATATAAGAGGTACTACAGTAATACTTGTACTCGCGTACTACTGTACGAGTCTACTGTCATCCGAACGAAACTTGTTCTCTCGCTCGTACTCTAAAATCTTTTGCAGAAGTACCCATACACTTCAATTCAAAAACTTTCTGTTGTTTTCAGCACCATGAATATCATATTTCATAAATCGAGCAATAAATTTCCTCTTTATCTTTATTGAAGAAGAAAGATAGAATTGCTGTAAGAATTACTTATTTGTGAAAAACTTTGTGACTGACTAAAATGTGAATTACGCTTCTTTTCTCGCTTTTGTCGGTGCACTCGAAAATTGCTCATACTCTAAAATTAATAATAATAATTAAAAATAATGCTCTTAAATAATGCTCTTGAAATAATTGCTCTTTTCATACTCGCACTCGAAAATGCTTGTTCTCGATATTGGATATTGATTTTAAGCTCATAGTTTTCTATTTTAACGTCGTATTCTAAAAGAATCTTACTATAAGGACCGAAATCTATTTTCATACAGTCAGGCTTTGGTCAAATAGTTAGAAATTACAACAGTATAAGACTCAGTATAAGAATAGTATAGACATTTTTCTCTCATCCCAATCAAATATTTACTTTTTTATTTACGGACTTTTCGTTTTCTTCACAGCATTTAAGAAAGAGAATCAAGTTAAAAAAAGTAAACAAACTTCTCTAGTTAGACACTTACTCGAGTTTTGTTAAGATCTCACCGAAATATTACTGACGCCGCTGATGATACTTTTTAAGATGGGATGAGAACCTTTCAAGGTCTTACTAAGAACTAGCACGACTTTTAATTAGATTCATTCACGCACGATTCACCAATAATTTTGTTTTATTGTTTACTTTTGAACTGCAGTTATGTTTTCAGTGTTATTATTTGTAGGTGTATGGGAGTAAAACAAAAGGATAAATGAATGTATACAGTTATCAACCTTATTAAGATCTAAATCAAAACCTCGAAAAGTAATTTCTCACAAAATTGTGGTAAGATACTTTTAAGAAGTTCTTAAGGTTTTTACTAGAGTTATTTTATTGTATTCTCTTTTTGTCTTTGTGTACGTGAGAACTGTTCAGGGGCGTACTTACTGTGGGGGTTGTGGGAACGGTTACCGTCCCCTGCCTTGAGAAAAGTTTCTGTTTTATGTCTTTCGCTCGTCAAAAAAACATCTTTTTTGGAAGAACGAAAAGCTTTTTTGTCAGGACCATCCACCTGCTCTGAGAAGCTACGTACGCACCTAAAATTGCTTGTATTTTTATCATATCAACGATAGAAAAATAAAGTTAATTTCTCATGAAAATTTGTTTTCGCCATTTTGTTCGAAAAAGTTTCCTAAACTTTAGACATAGAAAATCTTCTGGGTTATCAAATGTACTGAATACGAAAAGACACTTTGGCGCGACTTTGCATGAACTTTATTCTTTTCTTTACATTGATATGTTTTGTTATTCTTCGATCATTAAAGTGGAAGAAAAATGTTAATTGGTTATACAATCCCTAGTGAATGTACTTAGAAAAGTACTTCGGTAAGTAATGTCCAAAGTACCTGGAGTTATTTGCAAGTAAAAAAGGTACTTATCAAGTAATTTGACAAGTGTAAGTACTAGATAAATACTTCATCAAGTATTTGGCGGATAACCTGGTAAGTACTTGCGAAATATCAGCAGATATCCGAAGTTCTTCCAAGTACCTGGCAGGTATTAAATCTAAAAATGCTTGATAAGTGCTTAACCTAGTACTCTAGAAAATTTTCAAGTAGCTAGGCACTTGATCTCAAATATATTCACTAGGGATATACGTTTAGACTATTTTTCTATTGTTGAAAAAGTGTTTATCCTTTTATTTAAAATACTAATCGATTTCATTCTATTTCTTTACAGTTTTACGAAATATAAACTCGTTCATTCTAGAAGCGAACAAGTGCCAGTCCGGACGTGAAGGATTTGTTGACGGACTTGGACTCAAGAGTTTTTTATCAAGTCCGTTTTAAGCCAAGCTAGAATGATGTCAGTGTAATCTTAAACATACAGATGAAATTTTCCTTATTTTTAAAAAGTTTACTTATTTTTACCCATTTTCAAAAAATCAATATTTTGAAACTTTTTCACTCAAAAATAACTTTTAAAAATCTGAAATTAGTTTTTTTATAGGTAGCGCGATGAGCTCTATCTACACACACCAGAAAAAAACGAAAATAAATTTTGCTAGCCTTTTGAATTTCTGGGACGTTACTAAAAAAATCTCAAGAAATAAATTATAGTATTTTTACAAGAAAAATCTGAAAAGAGTTGAGCAAAGATAATTCGACGTATCTACTTAACGTCTGTAGACTACGGCTTAAATGAAAAATGCCAAAAAGGCAATATTCAAATTTATTTGGGTCGTTTGTCTATTTAATACTGATTTATTTATTCATTACTGATTGATGATAGCAATACGTAACCGATCAGTTCCTATATTGTTATTCAAATCTTGATCAGATTCTTCAGTTATTGACTCGAGTTGTGCAGCTGTTTTCTCTTTTTGTTGTGTGATAACAGATGAGTCGCGACTTGCACAGATTTTCAGCAACTTTATAGTTAAATTTGGCCAATTGATCCCGTTGCAGTCGTTTATTTTCATCACCAACAGATTTACAGAGATCAATGCCGAGATACATTAATTGATAAATCAAATCAGCTGAGCAAAATATTTTTTCAATATGTTTTTTATAACGTCTTGACCAATCTAACATAAAATAGCAATTTTGTTCATTAATAAAGAATACGAAAAGTTTTTTGATTTGAATGTATCCTGCTAAATCGATACATATATTTCTAAAATATTTTCTCATGAAATAAATATAAACAGGTCCTTGTCAGCATTATTATTTATGTACTACCGAGAAGTATTCATATTGGTAAAATATCGTACAAAATCCAATATTTTTCAGTTTTCAAGTTTTAATATACGGCAATTATTCACACATTCATCAAGCAACAGGGTTTCCATCAATTCGTAACCATATAACTCACTCAACAGCATGTTTCATCCGAAAACCTCAATTTAAAACTAAGGAAAAAAGAAAAGAAAAAGGAAAAAAGTTTTTTTTAAAAGAAAATAAGAAAAAAAGAACAAATATAAATTCACAACTGATATGTTTCACTGGAAGAGATACTGAAGTAAAGCTGTTTTGAAAGACGTTAAAGAAGAAAGGCAAATAACTGACTCTGGGAGATTATTCCAATCAACAATAGTTGAATAAAAAAACAAGATTTGCGGAAAAAACCATCAACAGAAGATGGAATGCGAACATATTTAGAGTAATGAAGACGTAAAGATGAGTAGTGAGGACGATGAATAGTATAAAAAAGAGAGACAGGACTTAGACGATGGTAAATTTTGAAAAACTGTAGAAGTCTAAAGTATTTACGACGAAGAGAGAGTTTAGGAAGACAAAGTTGAGATACAAGTAGGGAGCTAGAAGAACGACAGTCAAAATTGCGAAAAATAATACGAGACGCAAGTTTGTTTACAGAATCAAGAACAGTAAGCGAAAACGAACTATCATACAAGGCACAGCAATAGTCAATTTTAGGAAGAATAGAAGAAAGATAGATTCGACGCCGAACTTCAGTTGGAACTAATCTAAAGACACGATTCAATGCTCCAGGCTTGCGCCGACAAGCAAGAGCAATGTCCTTGGCATGATTGATTCCACCTAAGATCGTGCGAAACAAGAACACCAACACAACGAACAGAAGACACAACGGAGAGAGGAACACCATTGAGATACAATTGATTATAAACATGCGAAAAGAGATGGAAAGAAAAAGGAAGCCAAGAACATTTAGAAACGTTTAGAGACATGAGATTGGAAGAAGACCAATGAGAAAGAGAGTTTATACAGTTTTGAACATGAGAAAAATTCGAAGAATCAGTAGGGGAAAGAGGAACAATCAAAAAAACATCAGCAGCAAAGAGACAGATTTCACAATTAGATGGAAGCGACAGAGGTAGATCATTAATAAAAATAAGAAATAAAAGAGGATCAAGCACACTGCCTTGAGGAACACCAGAAGGAACAGACACACACCATAAAGAACAGTGTTTACTCTAGCTTATCTCACCAGCTAATCAATATTGCTTTACAGTAATAAGTATACCTTCTTTACTGATAGGCCGCAGACCATATCTTATTAAAATAAATTTAAAAATAAACGTGATAAAAATGCGATAAAATCATCAATCGATGAATTCTTGGCAAAAAGAGACTCATATGCCGATGACAAGCTTCAAATTCCAAATAAAACTCTCGGCTCAAGTGTTTTAAAAAATTTTGTTCTCTGGGAGTATACTAATTATTAACAAGATCCCAATATAACGTACATTAAGGTTCCTCTTAGAGGAAGTAGCAGTGAGTGGGCAAACACCAGCCAAAGGATTACCCCCATAGGAAAAAAGCGCCAAATTTTGATACCGAAACCTATAAAAGTTGCTGGAAACTCCCTAAAGAACTCTAAAAGCTTAAAATAAGCCCCTTCAGGTTCTCTACATCGAATTACATATAGATCATAAGTTTCAGCTTGCTAAAATGTTCGTGTCAAAAGCTGTTCAAATTTTTTAATGAGATGTATGAATATAATTTCTGACCAGTATATCCACACGAACTAGCCTTATGTTTTTAACACTCTTTCGGAAAAAAATTCATCAGTTTAGTGTATTACTAATCGACGTTCAAATCAACGTATACATAAATTTTATCTATTTTATAAGTCTCTACTATCCAGGTGAAATTTCGAAATTTTGCGTCGATTGTAGCGTTTATGGATGGATAGAAATCTATATAGATATTTATATAGATAGATGCCGTTATTTGACCATTAATGACTATCGACATTGACTGAGGATGTGAAAAACATCTGTTTTTCTTTTAATTTTTGTTGAATTCTGCCTAAGAACACTTTCTACATCTTTCACTTGTCTTTAGTTTTCCTATTTTCTATCAGCCATATTGTTCCTCTACACTTTTATCTTATTTTTGCCAAATAGTACGTGGACAAACAGCATGGACTGCGTCAAAAAGTGATTTTTGGTCACTGGAATTGATTGGATGAAAAGTTCACAGAAATTCACTTTCGAGCTTTTAGTCATAAATCCAAAAGGTCACCTGGATTCTTCCAGTCAATTCTGAGAAAACTCATATAGAGGGCGCTGTTTTGCTTTTTTCTTAGAATTGACTGGAAGAATCCAGGTGACCTTTTGGATTTATGACTAAAAGCTCGAAAGTGAATTTCTGTGAACTTTTCATCCAATCAATTCCAGTGGTCAAAAATCACTTTTTGACGCAGTCCATGCCGTTTGTCCATGGACAAACGGCATGGACTGCGTCAAAATTTTAGTACGTGCACGTACTAAAATTTTTTACCAATCCTTCTTTTATATAACCAGTTTCATCGGCTGATATATTGATATATTTTCGGCTAAAAAAAGACAATCGAATTTTCTCAATAGCAGTATTATGCTCTTTTTTCGAATCGCTAAGGCCCTGTCTACACTACAAAAGTTAAAGCAGCTTTAAGGAATTCTATTGGCTTAAACTAACTTTTAGCCAATAGAATTACTTAAAGCTCCTTTAACTTTTGTAGTGTAGACAAGGCCTTAGGTCCTCACTGTAAATTTTGACTTCACTAAAGTGGATGACGTAACAGTAGGAAAAGTGGATGATTTTCCTTTGTTTAGCTATAGTCATCCACTATACTGACTGAAAAGTGTTACCCGGTCGGCTGACTAAAAGTTAGTTTAAGCCAATAGTTTAAGCCAATAGTCACGACCAGCTTAACGATTTATAATACATTAATCTATTTTGTAGAAAATCATCTTAGATGTTGGCGTTTATTAGAAAATAAAAGTGTCGAAAAAAGACATTGTTTCTGATAATGAATCACCGAAGTAAATGAGACAAATGACAATAATTTATAAAATAGCGCATTATCAGTGAACAACCACAGTCATATCTGTGTATCACCCAGTATCCGATAAAATTTGAACGAACAACGATAGAGCAGCGACATACTATAACGACAGGACCCCATCTGATACAATCGTATAATAAAAAAAATATAAAAGTTATATTTCATCTAAGTTTATCATAATTAGTTTATTGACTTTATAATATTCACTATTTTAAAAATATTCTAATTTATATTTCTAGATTTTTATCTTTCGTGAGTTTGCTTCCTGATGCTTAAAAAAGATATCAGATGAATCAATCGAGTTACACTTAAGCCAATAACATGACAACTGATACTTCATCCAATTCAAACTCCGATGTTTTCAATAACAACAAATGTTCACCGATAGCTTCAAATGATTTAGCGACTTTGTTAGAAGCATTACCCTCTCTTTCATTACATAATACTTCTAATATTGGGGACGAAGTAGAATCCGCCGTATTTATTAATAATAATGATGATCATGAACAGACCGTAGAGGAACGGAGATTTACATCAACTGGATTAATTAGTGAACTTATTCGGCAGACGTCGGTGCTAAATACCGTAAGATTTGTTTAGACTTTTCCTAAATAAAATTATTTCAAAAATCAAACCTACGTTCAATCTCTGAAATAGTGAAATTAAATTAGAAACGGTTAAAAATATGTTTAACATAAATCAAAAAATTGTCAACTGTTAAGACGATTTTTTTCTCTGGATCTTAAAAAAACTTTTTCTAGTGTTATAGGTTCATGACAATGGCGCATCAGATGATGCAAGTTATCATTCAGCCGATGAACAGGCATTAGTGTCTACTATACAAACAAGAATTGATGATGAACAATCATCAGCCATATCAACACTCACAACCACATCGTCGTCAAATGAACAAAATATACCTAAACATGAGCAGTATAGGGAAGATATCGAACAGAGTCTTACGGACGATGATTATGAACAATTATTGAAAGGTGATGTTAAACATATATTCATTTTAAGCGATAATGGAAAGCCAGTTTTTTCAAGGTAAATGAGAGAGAGAGGGAGAGCTTGTCTTAGAAGATCTCCAAACTTGATTCAATGATATTTTTGATTAGATATGGTGACGAAGAAAAACTGTTAACATTGATGGGCGTTATGCAAACATTAATATCCTTTTCTGAAATCCACGATCGTAATCAGCTAAATTATATTAAAGCCGGACGTAGTCGTATTGTCTTTTTACACAAAGAACCGTTGGTATTTGTATTAGTCACGCATTTAAATGAACATCATAGTTGTTTATTACAACAACTAAACTACTGTTACTATCAAATAATAAGTACTTTAACATTGAGTCGAATCAAACATAAATTTCAAGTACAACCAAATTTTGACTTAAGACGATGGTTATCAAATGCTGAAAAAAAGTTGTTACACAATATTATTGAGATGCATGAAATAGATCCTGGAATGATGATGACATGTGCAAAATGTCTTACTATACCATCAAATATCAGAAGTCAAATTGGTTTGGCCGTGGCACAAACAATACGTGGACAAAAAGTATGCACTTTGTTTGTTAGATGGCCGTAGTCTCCCATAGGATTTATTACGTTTCTATCAGCGGTTAAATTTGTGTATTACAGATAGTATAAGTCTTAGTGAAAGCTTTAGAAATGAGAGTGTCAATGTTTTTCTCTGCTTGATATTGTTTTGATGATGGTTTAGGATATGATATTTGCAATTATACTTGCCCAAGGACATCTTGTCTCGATTGCACGTTTAAAACAGTATCATTTACATCCATCTGATTTACATTTGTTGATTAATCTTGTGAATAGTTCAGATGCATTTAAAGGTGTAGAAGCATGGGTTCCTGTTTGTTTGCCACGTTTTGATCCAGGGTAAATATGCATTTGGACATTTCAACTCCTTTCAATATAACCTTTTTTGCTTTAGCGGTTGTTTACATGCCCATATATCTTATTTGGATGATGCTTGTGATATATGTCTTGTTTTAATGACGGTGAATGCCGAAAACTTTCAGATATTATCCGATTTCAAACAAAAAATCTCCGATGTTAGTCATGTCTTATTTATTTTAGTGTAATAGTCATCAATTTTCATTTTTTTACTTAGAAACTAAAGAAGAACGGTTTAATTGGTCAAATCAATATAGCATTAGTACGTGATAGAATGTTTTCGGACGAAATTGGTTGTAATGAATTACGTTATTTTGCCTATAAATCACGTGGTTTAAGTCAGTATACATGTTCAAAATTATTAGCACCATACACTACAAAAGAACAACACATTCGATTATTCGATCTAATCCGTTATGTTTATGGACGATTACATGATCCAAGTCACCAATTGAAAATTGTCTATTATGCAGCTGAATATGAATCGTTACTGGGTTGGGTACGTGTTCTACTTGAATTCGAGTGTTTATTGGATGGAAGAATACTTTGAACGAAACTGGTGTTTCTAATTTTCTGTTTATTTTTTTTAGCTTGCACCAGGTTTTGAAATGCACGTGGTCTTTTCACCTATGGTTACATTAGATACAGTAACAACTTGTATTGATCGTATATTGACTTATATCAAACGAGAAGAAAGTCAACTATTTATAATGAAATGTGAATATTTTTGAATTGATTAAGCTAAACAAAGTGGATATTGTACATGACATGATTTTTACAAGCTATTTTTATTCAGTGAAGTCTTTATTTGATGCAGACTGGTTTCTTTTGTATTCAGTCGGAATATAATTTTGACAAAGTATGAAATTTTGATTCTGTGCAATAGATTTTTGTTTTCTTTTATCTTTATTTTGTTTGGCCGCGATTCCTCCGATCTTAGTTTGAAATTTCCTCTTGAATTTTATTAATACGCAACGATATTATTAAACTTCTTACACTGTTGACTCGACAGAGCGCAAATATATAGATGTCGTTTAATGGTCAAACTAGTATCTTTTCTGTTCTGTCATATTTTTTTGCTTTTCTTACTTTTTCAGGTCGATAAATTATGATTACTATTAAATTTCTAGATGATTATTTCTGCCACTAGTGATCTGCATAAGCTTTACTAGTAGATATTTTCGACCACATTGTTCGTGCCTGTGGAATAAAGCCACTTGTAGTGAAGATAGAATGATGCTTTGTTTCTATAACGTGTTTCTCTTTATTTCTCGTGTTCCATTACCAATTTTCATTTAAGTGTAAAACTTAAAAATATAAAAACACTGTTCTGTGCATTACTGTTTGCATAATATCTTTTTATTCATCGTAATCCATATTTGACGGAGGTTCAGCTCTGTTAGAATGTTTTTTTCTGAATTTATGTGTGCACGTGCAAACCTCTATCTTCTATTTATACTTTCTCTTTGATGAGCAGCATATTGCTATTTCCTGAAGTTTCATCAGTGTCCATAGTTTGTTCGATCAGATAAACTCGAGCTGTTAATATTGGAAGATACTTGTTTTTGTTCAAGATGTCGCTATTAAGGGCAATTAAGTCTCAATACATTTGTGCCCTCTGTGTATAGTTTGTCTATGCACTCTTATTCAGTCTTTTGGAGGCAATAAACAACTCATTAAGGATGACTGATTGTCCATTCCAATCATAGATAAAATTTGTAGTTGAATTATAACACCACAATACTGTCTCAAAAAAGTACAGTAAAAATATGCCGATTGCATGAAACAACTGTCTTGATGATCATACCGTCAGGAGGAATGTGCTGTCGGAACAGTTTTACTGTGCAATTCGATGACATACTTTATGTGTGATAAAAGCATAGTTTACTTACAATTTTTAATGAGTTCCTAGAAGCGCGTTTAAAATGCAAAAGTAGCATACTAACAGTGTGCTGGAATGACGCCATCATATTTTTTACTAAATAAGCTTGTGACATGGTTCTACACTGACGATGACGTATTTTGTAGTGTGCTTGTGATGCCCCGTTACTGTGATAGTGGTCCTAAAAAGCATAGTAGTAGAACATGTTTTGGTAAAACGTAAAAGCCAGCCCGGGAAAAGATCACATTAAAAAGCGCTTTTTTTTGTTGCTTCGACGTGCTGGAAGCACGCGAAAAGTGTTCTATGTCTCGTATTGATAGAATTGAACTTCAAACGGCATGCTCTACCTGTGCTGTTTGCATACTTTTACCGTGCTTTTTTGGAACAATGAATTAAACATCGAAAAAATTGATATTTTCTTTTTCCATTTCTTCCAATAGGAAACGTTTTGCAATACTTTGAAAATAAAAATTGCTTACTACAGTTTTGCATTTGATTTTTAGTTCAAAATCATTGCTAATAAACGTATCCAATTTTCTTATTCAATTTACTTTTAGATGATGACAGCTTCTCTAAACGAGCAAGATCTCGCTCAGGTATCAAGTTTTTTGCAATCGAATTGGACAAAAGTAATTAATTCAGATCCAAAACTGGTAAGAAAGATAAAATTTTGTATCGCACATCCTCATTTTTTTTGTGCTCTTTTAACAGATTAGTTATTTTAAAAACAAAAAGATTACGCCGCCCTCATTCGAAGACGTTTGCACATGGAATATTGAGAATAATAAACGGTAACAACACACGCTCAGAAATAATTGCTTTTTACCTTATCTGTGTTATTTCAAGGAAACGAAAGTCATCCGAAAATGGTGATTCAAGTAGTGGAAAAAAACCCAAATTATCAAATGGGTACGTTGACCTTATCCTCTTCTTCATGACAAAACTGTCTTCTAAATATATTTCCCTAATTTAGTACTGCTGCAAGTCATGATGATTCAGATAGTGAGAGTGATGACGAGGAAGCTGGTAATGCAAAACTATTGTACAAAATTATTTTCTATGCAGTTTATGGAATTTCTAGACAAACTAAACACCAAAGCAAAACTGGCAACAGCTGCAATACGTACAAACACAGCAACAATCAAGCGTTCGAGAAGCACAACCAGTGACTCATCCGATGACGGAAATGACCAGAAAGGAAAGAATAATCAACAAAAAAAACCATCAGGTATGCAGAAAGCAACTATCTCAAACTTTCTATGTCACTCAGAAATTCTCAAATATTCCAATAGCTCAATCAAACAAACCTACCTTCTCTCCTACGAAATCAGCCACAGCACCACAACAACAGGCAGTAAAGAAAGCCGAGACTTCGTCGAGCGATGATTCGTCTGATGATGATATCAAGAAGAAGCCAGCGACAAATTTGATTAAACCTCAAGTGACTCAAGTGCAAGCCAAAGCTCAACAAGCGATCGCGAAAA